CTGCTTCTTGCCAGGGGGAATCCTTTCTTGAGAGTTGTTAGCTGGCCCTGATTGTTTCAGGTCTGGAATTTATCTGTTTTCTGAGAATTGTTCTTTATTTACTGTCCTAGTTGCCTCCTAGTGACATATTTTAATTAGCTCTTTTCAAAGTAAAGACAGTCCCCATATTATGAGCAAGCTAGGTCCTGTAGGTTTGTTCTTAAGTTAAATTTGTTTGGAAGTCAGAACAGGTACATTTTTAGTATAATTCCAGCCTAAAGGTAAAGGTTTCCCCTTGACATTAAGTTTAGTTGTGTCCTACTCTGGAGGGTGGTGCTCATCTCCATTTCTAAGCCAAAGAGCCGGCGTTGTCCGTAGACGCCTCCAAGGTCATGTGGCCAGCATGACTGCAGGGAGCGCCGTTACCTTCCTGCTGAAGCGATATCTATTGATCTATTCACATCTGCATGTTTTCAAACTGGTCCAAGGTCATGTGGCCAACATGACTGCATGGAGCACCATTACCTTCCTGCCGAAATGGTACTAGTAATCCATTCACATTTGCATGTTTTTGAACTGATCCAAGGTCAGTTGACTGCAGGGAGAGCTGTTCCCTTCCTGCTGAAGTGTTACCTTTTGATCTACTTACATTTGCATGTTTTCAAACTGCTAGGTTGGCAGAAGCCGGGGCTAATAGCAGGTGCTCACTCCACTCCCCAAATTCAAATCTCCAACTTTTTGGTCAGCAAGTTCAACAGCTCAGAGGTTTAACCCGCCGCACCACCGGAAGCTCCACAACTCCAGCCTATATCTTTGAATAGCACAAGAAAGGATAGACATCTTGGTAGTAACATAGCCAGCCAAATTAGTATAAACATGTAATTGGATTATATGAGTCTACACTGCCATATAATCCAGTTCAAAGCTGATAATGTGGATTTCATATGGCAGCGTAGAAGGAAATGTCATTTATTACAGTAGCTAGATCTCTTACCACCACGTTTTTGGATGGGCTTCCAGTCCTCTAATGTGCACGCGGTATAAACAATAATATTTTTATAATGATAGGTTTCCTTTCCCATATTCTCACCACACCCTACAAGCTGCCATTACAATAATATCTCTTCCTGGTGCTTTATTTGTTGACTGCAATGCCATAATCCTCTTGAGCTGCTTAAAGGTAACATCTGGCTGTTGGGAGGGACGTAAGTATTGCGTTCAGATGACCTTGTGGGGATAAAATCAGCCCAGAAACCATTATTTCATTGCAGCGAATTGTTTTCTCCTAATCTCTTTCCTCGCACTTATGCCTCCAAGAAACTAAATCTTACCCTGATGACCAAGACCATATAAAATCCAGATTATCTACTTTGAATTGGATTATATGAGGCTATAGCATGCACAGGCCAACTTCGGCCCTCCCTCCAGGTGTTTTGGACTTCGACTGCCACAATTCCTAACATCCACAGGCCAGCTGCGGCCCTCCCTCCAGGTGTTTTGGAATTCAACTCCGACAATTTCCAACGGCCACAGGCCAACTTCAGCCCTCCCTCCAGGTGTGTTGGACTTCAACTCCCACAATTCCCAACGGCCACGGGCCAACTTTGGCCCTCCCTCCAGGTGTTTTGGACTTCAACTCCCACAATTCCCAACGGCCACGGTCCAACTTCGGCCCTCCCTCCAGGTGTTTTGGACTTCAACTCCCACAATTCCTTACGGCCACGAGCCAACCTCGGCCCTCCCTCCAGGTGTTTTGGAATTCAACTCCTACAATTCCTTACGGCCACGGGCCAACCTGGGCCCTCCCTCCAGGTGTTTTGGAATTCAACTCCGACAATTTCCAATGACCATGGCCAACTTCGGCCCTCTCTCCAGGTGTTTTGGACTTCAACTCCCACAATTCCTAATGGCCACGGGCCAACTTCGGCCCTCCCTCCAAGTGTTTTGGACTTCAACTCCCACAATTTCTTACAGCCACGGGCCAACTTTGGCCCTCCCTCCAGATGTTTTGGATTTAAACTCCCACAATTCCTAATGGTCGCGGGCCAACTTCGGCTCTCCCTCCAGGTGTTTTGGACTTTAACTCCCACAGTTCCTAATGGCCACGGGCCAACTTCGGCTCTCCCTCCAAGTGTTTTGGACTTTAACTCCCACAATTCCTAATGGCCACGGGCCAACTTCGGCTCTCCCTCCAGGTGTTTTGGACTTTAACTCCCACAGTTCCTAATGGCCACGGGCCAACTTCGGCCCTCCCTCCAAGTGTTTTGGACTTTAACTCCCACAATTCCTAATGGCCACGGGCCAACTTCGGTCCTCTCTCCAGGTGTTTTGGACTTTAACTCCCACAATTCCTAATGGCCACGGGCCAATTTTGGCCCTCCCTCCATGTGTTTTGGACTTCAACTCCTCACGTCGATACCAGGCAAGATTCTGGAAAAGATTGTTAAGGAAGTGGTCTGCAAACACTTAGAAACAAATGCGGTCATCGCTAATAGTCAACATGGATTTATCAAAAACAAGTCATGTCAGCCTAATCTGATCTCGTTTTTCGATAGAGTTACAAGCTGGGTAGATGCGGGGAATGCCGTGGATGTAGCGTACCTGGATTTCAGTAAGGCCTTCGACAAGGTCCCCCATGACCTTCTGGCAAGGAAACTAGTCCAATGTGGGCTAGGCAAAACTATGGTGAGGTGGATCAGTAATTGGTTAAATGGACGAACCCAGAGGGTGCTCACCAATGCTTCCTCTTCATCCTGGAAAGAAGTGGCGAGCGGAGTGCCATAAGCAGGTTTCCATCTTGGGCCCAGTGCTGTTCAACATCTTTAGATGAAGGGCTAGAAAGCATGATCATCAAGTTTGCAGATGACACCAAATTGGGAGGAATAGCCAATACTCCAGAGGACAAGAGCAGGATTCCAAACGATCTTGACAGATTAGAGAGATGGGCCAAAACTAACAAAATGAAGTTCAACAGGGACAAATGCAAGATACTCCACTTAGGCAGAAAAAACGAAATGCAAAGATACAGAATGGGGGACACCTCGCTCGAGAGTAGTACGTGTGAAAAGGATCTTGGAGTCCTCGTGGACAACAAGTTAAACATGAGCCAACAATGTGATGTGGCGGCAAAAAAAAAAAATGTGATTTTGGCCTGCATCAATAGGAGCATAGTGTCTAGATCTACGGAAGTAATGCTACCCCTCTATTCTGCTTTGGTTAGACCACACCTGGAATATTGTGTCCAATTCTGGGCACCACAATTCAAGAGAGATATTGACAAGCTGGAATGTGTCCAGAGGAGGGTGATTCAAATGATCAAGGGTCTGGAGAACAAGCCCTATGAGGAGCGGCTTAAGGAGCTGGGCATGTTTAGCCTGAAGAAGAGAAGGCTGAGAGGAGATATGATAGCCCATATAGAAATATGTGAGAGGAAGCCACAGGGAGGAGGGAGAAAGCTTGTTTTCTGCTTCCCTAGAGACTAGGACGTGGAACTACAAGAAAGGAGATTCCATCTGAACATGAGGAAGAACTTCCTGACTGTGAGAGCCGTTCAGCAGTGGAACTCTCTGCCCCGGAGTGTGGTGGAGGCTCCTTCTTTGGAAGCTTTTAAACAGAGGCTGGATGGCCATCTGTCAGGGGTGATTTGAATGCAATATTCCTGCTTCTTGGCAGGGGGTTGGACTGGATGGCCCATGAGGTCTCTTCCAACTCTTTGATTCTATGATTCTATGAAGTGGCCCCTGCCTGCTGTAGTCTCCTATAATCCAAATCAGATAATGTGGACTGTCTGCTTTGCTAATCTATGTAGTCAGCAGATGTGTTGTTGTTGTTCATTCGTTCAGTCGTCTCCGACTCTTCGTGACCTCATGGACCAGCCCACACTAGAGCTCCCTGTCGGCCGTCACCACCCCCAGCTCCTTCAAGGTCACGCCAGTCACTTCAAGGATACCATCCATCCAGCTTGCCCTTGGTCAGCCCCTCTTTCTTTTTCCTTCCATTTCCCCCAGCAGATCTAATTTTCTTGTTAATCCTCATGATGTGGCCAAAGTACTTCAACTTTGTCTCTAGTATCTTTCCCTCCAGTGAGCAGTCCGGCTTTATTTCCTGGAGGATGGACTGGTTGGATCTTCTCGCAGTCCAAGGCACTCTCAGAACTTTCCTCCAACACCACAGCTCAAAAGCATCGATCTTCCTTCGCTCAGCCTTCCCTAAGGTCCAGCTCTCACATCCGTAGGTTACTACAGGGAATACCATGGCTTTGACTAGGAGGATCTTTGTTGCCAGTCTGATGTCTCTACTCTTTACTATTTTATCGAGATTGGACATTGCTCTCCTCCCAAGAAGTAAGCGTCTTCTGATTTCCTGGCTACAGTCTGCATCTGCAGTAATCTTTGCGCCTAGAAATACAAAGTCTGTCACGGCCTCCACGTTTTCTCCCTCTATTTCCCAGTTGTCAATCATTCTTGTTGCCATAATCTTGGTTTTTTTGATGTTTAGCTGCAACCCGGCTTTTGCGCTTTCTTCTTTCACCTTGATTAGAAGGCTCCTCAGCTCCTCATCGCTTTCGGCCATCAGAGTGGTGTCATCTGCATATCTGAGGTTGTTAATGTTTCTTCCAGCAATTTTCACCCCAGCTTTGCATTCATCAAGCCCCGCACATCGCATGATGTGTTCTGCATACAAGTTAAAAGGTTGGGTGAGAGTATGCAGCCTTGCCGTACGCCTTTCCCAATCTTGAACCAGTCTGTTGTTCCGTGGTCAGTTCTGACTGTTGCTACTTGGTCCTTGTACAGATTCCTCAGGAGAGAGACAAGGTGGCTTGGGATCCCCATCCCACCAAGAATTTGCCACAATTTATTATGATCCACACAGTCAAAGGCTTTAGAATATGGCAGTGTAGTTCCACCCTTTGGACTCTGGTTCCTGGGCGGAAACAGGCCAGCAATGTGCCTTGTTGTGCTTCTGGCTCCTGGCACTAGAGGTCCTCGCTTTTGCCTGGCTCTTGCTCCATTCCCCTTCTCATCAGGCCTACTTCCTTCCTTCCTTCCTTCCTTCCTTCCTTCCTTTGCAGCCTGCTCTCTTGCTGAAGCCACAGCCATGGCCACAGAAGGCGAGAGCACCACGGCCCTCCTGCCAGGTTTCGTCTTCGGCGCCTTGGCCTTCCACCATCTCAGCACCGACTCCGACTCAGTAAGTAAAGCTCCTTCTACACTGCCATATAAAATCCAGATTATCTGCTTTGAACTGGATTATACGTACGAATGAACGGAATGAACAGATGTAGTGGGGCTCCGCGTTGTGCAGTTTTCTCTGTTTGTGCCTCCCCGAACGAGAATTCCCAACTCCGACTCGGTAAGTAAGGCTTCTTTCTACACTGCCATATAAAATCCAGATTATCTGCTTTGAACCGGATTATACATACCAATGAACAGAGGCAGCATGGCTCTGCGTCGCAGTTTTCTTTGCAAGAGAGAATTCTTTGCAAAGTAGAACTCCCAGGATCCTCATAGCAGTGAGTCGGGGCAGTTCAAAGTGTATTTTAGGTATTTTGTAGAGATATAATGCAATATAATACTTTTTTTTTGTCATGTCAGGAGCGACTTGAGAAACTGCAAGTCACTTCTGGTGTGAGAGAATTGGCCGTCTGCAAGGACGTTGCCCAGGGGACGCCCAGATGATTTGATGTATAATACTAATAATAAATAATAATATAATACTAATAATAAATAATAAGATATTATAATTATATATTTACTAGCTATCTCCTGCCACGCGTTGCTGTGGTCCAGTCCGCGTATATGTGTTTTGTGTGTGTATATATTTGTGTATATATGTGTGTTCGCATATATATTGGGTGTATATATGTGTGTATATATATGCATATTGTGTATATGTGTGTGCTTGTCTATATGCATATTTGTGTGACTATATGTTTGTTTCTGGAGTAGAAAAACAATGACTTTCAAAGTAAGTACCACACGATTAAATAGGAAACAACACTTTCCAACCAGGAACAGGTTTTTTGTTTTCAAATTTTGTTACAGAGTGCAATGATAAAAATAATTGTTTTTCTGACCCGCCTCTCCTCGTGGTTCGACACTGCTAAAAACACATAACCATTATGTAAAATACACATATTAAAACATATTTATTTATTTACGACATTTATATGTCGTCCTTCTCACCCCAAAGGTGAGAAGGATGAGATACATGTTTGTATGTATGTGTATATGTATATGTGTGTGCATGTGTATATGTATATATGTGTGCATGTATATTTATGTGTGTTTGTGCATATATATACATGTGTGTGTGTGTATGAATGTGTGCATGTGTATGAGTGTATGTGTCTATGTATATATGGTGCTTTTGGGAGGTTTTAAAGTCCGCTGGGATTTTGTGTGTGTGTGTGTGTGTTTAGGGGTGATGGACACTCGTTGGACTGTTAGGTTATTGTGTCCAAATTTCGTGCCAATCCGTCCAGTGGTTTTTGAGTTATGTTAATCCCACAAACGAACAGTACATTTTTATTTATATGGACTAGCTGTCCCCTGCCATGCGTTGCTGTGGCCCACATGGGGGTTCTGTGTGGGAGGTTTGGCCCAATTCCATCGTTGGTGGGGTTCAGAATGTTCTTTGATTGTAGGTGAACTATAAATCCCAGCAACTACAACTCCCAAATGACAAAATCATTTTTTTGAGTGAAGGACATACATTGGGTTGTTAAGTGTCTTGTGTCCAAATTTGGTGTCAATTCGTCCAGTGGTTTTTGAGCTCTGTTAATCCCACAAACGAACATTACATTTTTATTTATATAGATTACATGTAATATTTCTAATAATATTACAATATAATGGTATAATACAACATAGTAATATTTAATACTGATATTGTCCTATGCTAATAATATTGTGTGTGTGTGTATAGTGTGTGTGTGTGTGTGTGTATATATATATATATATATAATTAACTTTATTTGTACCCCGCTACCATCTCTCCAAGGGACTCGGTGCGGCTTGCATGAGGCGGAGCCCAAACACAACAATACAAGCAATAAAACAACAATAAAGCAATTAAAAAACATAGACAATAAGATAAACAACATTATCAATAAAACAACACACAATTAAAAACAGAGGGGAGGCCCAATGTAAAGTTAAAATTGGAAATATATATATTTTGTAAACCGCTCTGAGTCCCCTTTGGGCTGAGAAGGACGGCATATAAATGTCGTAAATAAATAAATAAATGTTTTAATATGTGTATTTTACATAATGGTTATGTGTTTTTTAGCAGTGTTGAACCACGAGGAGAGGCGGGTCAGAAATACAATTATTTTTATCATTGCACTCTGTAACAAAATTTGAACACACAAAAAAAAACTGTTCCTGGTTTGAAAGTGTTGTTTCCTATTTAATCGTGTGGTACTTATTTTGAAAGTCATTGTTTTTCTATCCAGAAACTTCCCTTTTGTGGCTGTAGACAAACTATGTTAGCGCTCTTCCACACAGCCCTATATCCCAGGATATCAAAGCAGGAAATCCCACAATATCTGCTTTGAACTGGGTTATCTGAGTCCACACACGGATAATATGGGTTTTTCTGCCTTGATATTCTGGGGATATAGGGCTGTGTGGAAAGGCCCTATGTTGAATTGGTTAAGACTCTGGGCCCTTCCACACAGCCCTATGCTGAACCTGCAGACTGAAAGGTTGGTGGTTGGAATCCGGGTAGTGGGGAGAGGTCCCGCTGTTAGGCCCAGCTTCTGCCAACCTCTCAGTTTGGAAACATGCAAGTGTGAGTAGATGAAGAGGTGCTGCTTCTGCAGGAAGGTAGCAGCGCTCCATGCAGTCATGCTGGCCACATGACCTTGGATGTGTCTACGGACAATGCCGGCTCTTCGGCTTAGAAATGGAGATGAACACACCACCCCCCAGAGTCAGACACGACTCGACTTAATGTCAGGGGAAACCTTACCATTTTTAAATGAATTCCAGCCATTGTGTTTATTTCTAAACAGCCTGTCTTCTCATCCTTTTCCAAAAGGTCAGTTTTTGTTTGACCTCAATTGACAATCCTGATATTTTTGTGGCCACTGTACTGATTTCTGTTTCTTCTTCGTCTACACAGGAAGGTTTCCTCCTTGGAGATGTGAAGGGTGAAGCTAAAAACAGTATTACTGACTCCCAAATGGATGACGTTGAAGTTATTTATACAATTGGTAAGTCAAGTAAATTGCCTTTCTAATAAGGTATATTGTTTTTGAATTGATGTTTTTACATAATTGACTGGTACCACTTGAGATATATGTACTGCACATTGTACTTTTAATTGCTTTTTTAATGTTTATATTGAGTTTTTGAAACTTGACTAAAGAATGGGACTGTGAGCTGCCTTGAGTCCCCACGGGGAGAAAGGCAGGGAATAAAAAACAGTTAATAATAATAATATCTGTCTGTTCAAAGGAATATTATCCACACCAAATTTGTCCTGTTCAGCTCTTTTCCCCTTTCCACTTCCAAAGTGCATCATCATAATCCTTGTCTTCAAGTCAACTGAAAGGAAAGATACAAACATGACTATAATTTACTTCCTATTTGGCAGATGAGATACAGTGTTGATTGTGTTTCGGGGAAGAAAAATTCTATTTTAATTTTACCAGTGCTTCAAAAGTAGAGGGAAGAGATCTTTAATCATTACCAAATTTCTTTTAATTTTTTTTGTCGTGTCAGGAGCGATTTGAGAAACTGCAAGTCGCTTCTGGTGTAAGAGAATTGGCTGTCTGCAAGGACGTTGCCCAGGGGACGCCCAGATGATTTGATGTTTTTATCATCCTTGTGGGAGGCTTCTCTCATGTCCCTGCATGAGGAGCTGGAGTTGATAGAGGGAGCTCATCTGCCTCTCTCCAGATTCGAACCTGCAACCTGTCGGTCTTCAGTCCTGCCGGCACAGGAGTTTAACCCACTGCGCCACCGGGGGCTCTATTAATTGTAAGACACCATCAATTGTAAGATTCAGTACCAACAACAACAAAATACATAAAATGCACCTCCAATTCTCAGGTGCAACCCACTTTTAGAGATGTTTATGTCAGAAATATTAAAAATTAACTAGATATTTTTACTTACAAAAATGTGAGTCAAGCACTGAAAGAGTTAAAATGGACATAATAACTCAGCAAAAGCTGCAGTTCAATATAAGCAGGTGTGCCTGTAGCTTAGTACACCTCAGTGTTAGTTGCCCTTAGTATGAAGAAGTTTCAGTCTGAGAGAGGCCTCAGTGTGAGCTAAACCTCAGCGTTAATAGGCTTCAGTGTGAGCTAGGCCTCAGTGTGAGGAAGGCCTGGTGTGAGAAGGCTTCAGTGAGAGAAGCCCCCGGTTGAAGGCCTCATGTGTAAAGCTCCAGTGTGGAGGCTGCTGAGTGTGAAAGGCTACTGTGTGAAGCTCCTGTGTAAGTTTAGTGTGAGAAGAGGCTCTGTGAGAGCAAAGCTTTTTATCTGCACGAGAAAGAAGCCCGGCATGGAAGGGAGTCTAAAGAACTTTATTTGTGTTATGGAAATAGTGTTCTTGTAATAGTGCAACCATATTATTTTGCTATAAGGAAAAGCCTCCTAAGGAAGAGATAACATTGGTTTTTGTGTTTTTATTCTTTTAACCACTTTTGGCTACTGGTACAGGGTTATGCTGCTGCTAATAAGTTACTCTGCTGTATATTTATGAGGAGGGTCTTTTGTTAATAAGCCCACTCGCCCAAGAAGGGCTATGGGCCCAGTATAGCCCAGTACAGACCAGTAGAGACTATATTGAAGCTGAAGAAATATGGCAATGGCATTTCAAGCAAGTGGACTGTCTTTTGAAAGGTTGAATGCCAGCAATTATGCCACATGGTCATTTAATATATCTGTGTTGTTATTGAAATTGGGAGTGTGTGCCATTGAAAATTGTGAAGAATGCTAAATCTAGTCTTGCAAAAATAGACGTGACACCATTCAATGGGGGCGTAGTAAAACATGTGACAGTGAATAATAATTCCTACGTTTTATGTAAATCGTCTTTTTAAAATTCTTAAAGAATATCCAGAAATGCATCTACACCAAGCGCTGAAGACAAACTAATGATATTTCATTTCAGATATACAGAAACACATTCCATGTTACCAACCCTTCAGGTAAGTATTATATGTTATTTCTTTACAATATTTAAATACGTTGTGTAAATCTTTTTCTCAATGAGGAAATAACAGAATTAACTGATGGTGATATATTTGTTTATTAGTCATTTCTTTATTATTTTTCTTGATGTTTGATTAACTATATAATATGAAGTTCAGTAAATACAATACCTTAAAAGGTCTCTTTGAAGAGAGAGAAAGGGTAATATAAATATAAGAAGGAGAAGAAGTGATTATGGAATAATGCAATGGAATAACGATTTGACATGGAGACCCTCACGATAATATTTTAAGGCTGTGTACAGTTTTTAATATTTTTTAAATCTTATACTATTGTTTTCAACAGAATTTCTTGATTGTTTTTACTTGTTATAATTGTTGAGGCATCGAATTGTTGCCAATTTGTGAACCACTCCGAGTTGCCTCTGGGCTGAGAGGGGCAGTATATATAGTAAATAATGTGGTTGTTGTGAGTTTTCAGAAGCATTTTCCCCTGACATTTCACCTGCATCTATGGCAGGCATTCTCAGAGGTTGTGGGGTCTGTTGGAAACTAGGCAAGTGACGTTTATATATTTGTGGAGTGTCCAAGGTGTGAGAAAGAACTCTTGTCTGAAGAGAGAGAAAGTGTCATATAAATATAAGAAGGAGAAGAAGTGATTATGTAGTTGTTGTGAGTTTTCTGGGCTGTATGACCATGGTCCAGAAGCATTATCTCCTGACATTTCGCCTGCATTTATGGCAGGCATTCTCAGAGGTTGTGGAGTCTGTTGGAAACTAGGCAAGTGACGTTTATAGATCTGTGGAATACTGGCTACCAGTATTTAAAAAACTCTAAAATCATAACAGTAAATAAAGAACAACACTAAAAAATGGGAGTTCCAGACAAGCATAAATCAGGACCAGATAATCGCATCCCAACAAAGGATTCCCTAGGCAGTAAGAAGCAAGACCTTGAAACTGCTAGGCCATTAAATGCTAATCAAGGTGGCCAATTGAAACATTCACACTGTCTTTAATGTGTGAAGAGTTCTTTCTCTCACCCTGGACATCCCACAGATATATAAACCCCATTTTCCTAATTTCCAACAGACCTCACAACCTCTGAGGATGCCTGCCATAGATGCAGGCAAAACGTCAGGAGAGAATGCTTTTGGAACATGGCCATATAGCCTGGAAAACTCACAACAACCCAGTGATTCCGGCCAGGAAAGCCTTCGACAATACAGTGATTATGTAGATGGGTAAACCAATGAACCACTAAATAGCTATTTATTTGGTTCAATATCAGTTCTGGTTTGTCTTTATATATTCTAGCTTTTACAATTCAGCCGGAAAACTGAATGAGGCGTTGCTGAAGAAAATATTATCAGGATGCAAAAAGGTATTGCTGTGGAAGGCAAAATTCCATTATGGAGCGGGGAGTGGAGTATCTCTTTGAGGAGGTTGAACCTTCTGTCTAATCTGGAAGAGAGAGAGAGAGTTATTTCAATGGATACTTCTACTGACAGGCACATTTGTATTCCTGTAAGCCAGTGGTTCTCAACTTTCCTGAGGTCGTGACCCCTTGATACAGTTCCTCCTGTTGTGGTGACCCCCAATCATAACATCATTTTCCTTGCCACTTCTTAACTGTAATTTTGCTGCTGTTATGAATCATAATGTAAATATCTGATATGCAGGATGTATTTTTATTCACTGGACCAAATTTGGCACAAATACCCCATATGCCCAAATTTGAATACTGATGGGGTTGGGGAGGATTGATTTTGTCATTTGGAAGTTGTAGTTGATGGGATTTATAGTTCACCTCCAATCAAAGAGCATTTTGAACTCCACCAATGATTGAATTGAACCAAACTTGGAACACAGAACTCCCATGACCAACAGAAAATATTGGCAGGGTTTGGTGGGCGTTGACCTTGAGCTTGGGAGTTGTAGTTCGCCTACATCCAAAGAACCTTGTGGGATCTAGATATGGATCTAGACTAAACTTGGCATGAATACTCAATATGCCCAAATGTGAACACTGGTGGAGTTTGGAGAAAATAGACTTGACATTTGGAAGTTGTAGTTGCTGGGATTTATAGTTCACCTCCAATCAAAGAGCATTCTAAACCCCACCAATGATTGAATTGGTCCAAACTTCCCACACAGAACTCCCATGACCAACAGAAAATACTGTGTTTTCTGATGATCTTTGGCGACCCCCCTGACGCCCCCTCATGACCCCCACAGGGGTCCCGACCCCCAGGTTGAGAAACACTGCTGTAAGCCCTTAGTAATTGGCCCCATTTGCTACAGAGGGTACTTTTAATGGGAGGGGCACTGGTTTGTTTTCTCCTGCATTTTTAACTCATGATCTTGTATTAGCAAGGTTTAGATACATTACTAGTATAAGATCACACTTAGAGTCCTGGCTCTCCGATTTATTGTTCATTGTAGCACGTCAAAGGATCGGAAAGCAATGTATTTCCCTTGAAGCTTTTTACTTAACTCTCATATTTAGCATGATTTTTCTTTTTGCCTTCCCAGACTGTGGTCGGCTGGTACAAACTCAGGCGTAATACTGACCAGGCAATGACTTTCCGAGAGCGACTCCTTCATAGACATTTACAGTCACACTTTTCAAATCAGGGTCTGGTTTTTCTGTTGCTAACTTCCAGTGTCACTTCTTCAAGTTCATCCACTTACAAACTTGAGTATGCCTTGCACAAACCACAAGAAGGGTAAGTAAGATGTGATCCTATGTGATGTTATTTTTTCCTCTGCTAACTTTCATATAAATTCTGATTTTAAAAGGACCCAGTCTAGTAAATCCTTTTTTAAACATGAAGCTGGCCATGTTAACCTATACAAATACAACAAAATATACATTAACATCACCTACAGTTCCGGAGCCCCCAGTGGCACAATGGGTTAAACCCTTGTCCCAGCAGGACTGCTGACTGAGAGGTCAGCGGTTCGAATCTGGGGAGAGTGGATTGAGCTCCCTCTGTCAGCTCCAGCTCCTCATGCAGGGGACATGAGAGAAGCCTCCCACAAGGATGGTAAAACATCAAATCATCCAGGTGTCCCCTGGGCAACGTCCTTGCAGACAGCCAATTCTCTCACACCAGAAGCGACTTGCAGTTTCTCAAGTCGCTCCTGAGACGAAAAAACAAAATTTTAAAAAAGCCTAAAGTTCCAAACAAGTGTGAAAGCTTTTGCATGTTATAGGAATCATGGTATGAAATGCTAAAAGATTCCCTGGTTTCTCAATTTACCAAACAAATACACTGGTTTTTTTTTTTGGAAAAATGATGACATATCCCAGGGGTCCTCAAACTTTTTAAACACAGGGGGGACACAAGGTCACAGTCCCTCAAACTATTGGAGGGCCAGATGATAATTTGAAAAAACATGAATTCCTATGCACATTGCACATATCTTATTTGTAGTGCAAAAAATACTTAAAACAATACAATAATTAAAATGAAGAACAATTTTAACAAATATAACAAATATAAACGTATTAGTATTTCAATAGGAAGTGTGGGCCTGCTTTTGGCTGATGAGATAGGACTGTTGTTGTTGTTATTGTTTGCTTTCAAGTCATTTCAGACTTAGGTTGACTCTGAGCAAGAGCTGGGTAAATGACCTTGGAGGGCCGTATCCGGTCCCCGGGCCTTAGTTTGAGGACCCCTGCCATAACCTTATGGGAAAGGGAAATCTCCATAACCTTTTGCAGAATTATGATCTTTGGAAAGGCATGACCTTGTTATAAATCACAACCTTTTGGGGAAATGGCATTAATTACCATTTGGGAAAATCAGGACTCTCCCTGAGAAGTTAAAAACCCGCTTGAGTCAAACTTCTCCTTAGTGGTAAATAATATCCACTTAAGATTCATGCAAGGCAATTAGGTTTCTCAGCTGTTAAACTGATATACCTAGATATCTCTTGGAACTGCTAGGGACAAAGATATGCCAATGCACAAAAACGGATAGATTGATAGATCGAGACAGCAGACTTTCAGAAGTGTTCTTTTCAGTTGCTCAAAAACATCTGCTCTCCCTTGGTTTAAATCATGCTCTCAAGTGACAAAATAAGTAGACCTCTTTAAAAGTAACATAATTGGTTTACTCACAAACTTCATGTATTCAGCATACAGGTACTTTGCATATTAATCCAGTTAAAGATAGGATTTGAAGTACTTTCTCTGTGCAGAGGAAACAGGGTATTTTTCTCATAATCGGCCGTCCATAGTTTAAAGCAGTGATTTTCAACCTGTGGATCCTCAGATGTTTTGGCCTTCAAATCCCAGAAATACTAACAACTGGAAAACTGGCTGGGATTTCTGAGAGTTGTAGGCCAAAACACCTGGGGGGACACAAGTTGAGAACCACTGATATAAAGCATTTCTCTGTGCTAATAGAGTCTGTGTTCTCTAAAGCATTCAGTTTCTTCTGAAGTCTAAAGGCATACAGTTCCTACTGGTGTCTGAAGCATAATGTTTCTAAAAATGGAGTATGAGTCCTGAACAAGCCCAGATCTGATCACATGGTCTGTAGTCCCTCCCACAACAAAGAGTTAAGGAAAGCTGCATACTAATACACAGATATACATCACAGGAAACAATCTGAATTATACACATAATGAACTACTAGAATAGGCTTGAGAAAGTTGCTGTTTTCAATAGACTTAACAAGTCTCAGAGCATTAATTTTGACTTTCAGGGGGCTCTTGAGTTCATTGGGTTCTTTTAAGAATGAGTAATGGAATGGCATTCTGTTTGTGCATTATAGAAAGCATTCAATAAGCACTTCTGTATTTCCATTTGACTCTTGTGTGTCTGCTTTTCTAGTCTTTTCCAGAAAGTTCCACTTGTTGTGGCCAATCTGGGAATGGCAGAGCAGCAAGGTTACAGAACTGTATCTGGGTCTTGTATCTCTTCTGGATTTTATAGAGCAATTGAAAAACACAGGTAAGGCAATACTTTCATAATTTGTATGACTTTTTCAGTCGTTCTCCCTGGACTTCAATTGATTCCCAAGCAGGAAAAAGTGGCCGTTTATCTGTCACTCACAAATCTGGGTAAAAGTTGAGGATTTCAGCTGTACTCCCCTTTGTAATACTGTAAATTGTGGAATTGTGATACTGTAAACTGGGTGGAAGTCAAGGAAGTTAGTTCACCATGCTCTCAATTTTGGGGAATAGTTTCTAGTTAACAGTCTACATTATGTAGTTCCAGTTGACTGACTATACTCCATCTCTTTGTACCTGTTCTTTCTCCACCCCACACCACCCCCAAATGGAAGTTTTGGAGATTTCATACTTCTATCCCACCAATACCTACATCAAATATGGATGTTTCCACCCTTTATGTGAGGGTTCCACCCTTTATTCCACGGTCATCAGAGTTTCTTTTCCTAGCAAGAGAGAATTGACAGACAACAAAACCAAAGAGCAAGAAAGATTTATTTAAACTGTAACTGGGTAATGTGTTGTCGAAGGCTTTCATGTTCAGAATCATTGGGTTGCTTTGAGTTTTCCAGGCTGTATGGCTGTGTTCCAGAAGCATTCTCTTCTGACGTTTTGCCCACATCTAAAGAAAGCATCCTCAGAGGTTGTGAGGTCTGTTGGAAACTAGGCAAGTGAGGTTTATATATCTGTGGAATATCCAGGATGGGAGAAAGAACTCTTGTCTGCTTGAGGCAAGTGTGAATGTTGCCATTGGCCACCTTGATTAGAATAGGGAAGCTGATGAAGAAACACAACCTACAAAGTATCTACAGACCACTAAGAAAATCCAACAAATTCTACGTTCAGCAAAAGACAAGAGGGATCCTCTCACCTCTGCAGGAGTCTACCGTATACCATGCAGCTGTGAACAAGTTGACATAGGGACCACCAAATGCAGCAGTGCACAGACACGAATCAGGGAACATGAAAGGCACTGTGGACTAATTCAACCAGACGTCAACCATAGCAGAGCACTTGACACAGCATAATACTTGTGAACACAGAAATGCTGGACTACTAAGACAATCACAATGTCGAACTACATAGAGCTATGGCTGACTTCTATGGTTGAATTACTTTGCAGAGCCTTTCATGTTCCCAAAAGATTCCCCCAGGCAGGAAGCAGCCATGCTTTGAAGCTGCAAGTCTATTCAATGCTAATCAAGCTGGCCAATTGCAACATTCACACTTGCCTCAAACAGACAGGAGTTATTTCTTTCACCCTGGACTTGCAACAATTATATAAACCTCACTTGCCTAGTTTCTAACAGACCCCTCAACCTCTGAGGATGCCTGCCGTAGATGTAGGTGAAACGTCAGTAGAGAATGCTTCTGAAACATGGCCATACAGCCCAGAAAACTCACAGGAACCCTATAACTTTTAACATCAAATTGATTGACTTAGAAATGCTGCGAAGACAGAAGAAAACAGTTGTCCCATTTTCTCATTCTCCTCTTCGTTTCAATGAGATTTGGAATACTTCTGTCTCCAACACAAGTTTATTTGTAGATATTAAACAAAAAACTGCATATTGTTTATGTATAACACTTGAAACCCTATGCACTATCCTCTCAAATTAAATCAGACCCTTACCAAGCTGTCAACTCAAGATCCTTTCCCCCTACCATCTTCTCAAGTTGACTTAACTGCCTCAGCTCAATCTGCCATTCATCTGCTGTCCCATATCAATCTCCCCAAACATTTAAATAATCAACATCCTTGTACGCACTCCATTCTCTCCATCCTTTGAATAGCTACTTGCCTCATAAACAAGAGCAACATTTCCTAACAGCTTTACATACTGTATTATGGTGTGTGTGTGTGTGTGTGTGTGTGTGTGTGTATACACACCCACACACACTTACTTATGCCAGGCTGAGCATTTATAGCATGCTGGCACGATCTTGTGTCCTAGTTTGTGGATATAAATAAAATGTAATTATTTTGTTATAGTACATAATATCCCCTCTTGTGCCCTTATGGCCTCATTTAAATTAAGTTCACTATTGCAGGAAGCAATTAAAAATCTTCAGCATGGAATGTGAGGCTATGTAACACTTAGGAACTATGTATACTTGCACACTTTGAAACCGCTAAAAGCCTTAGTAGCTAATTGGAATGTGCCTCTCATGTAATATCATAAGTAGTATTGATGTCTAGTACAGCCATGGGCAAACTTCAACCCTCCAGGTGTTTTGGACTCTAACTCTCACAATTTCTAACATCCAGCTGTAAGGAATTGTGGGAGTTGAAGACCAAAACACCTGGAGCGCCGAAGTTTGCCCATGTCTGGTCTAATAAGTAGCAATTCTGTACTTTGTACATTATTGTGTGTCTTCAAGTCATTTCCAACTTATGGTGACCATAAGACAAACTTATATCACTGGGTTTTCTGAAGCTATGAATGTATGACTTGCCCAAGGTCACCCAGTGGGTTTCTATGGAAAAATGGGGACTCAAACCATGATCTCAAGAATCGTAGTCTATTATTTAATACGCTACACAGGCTCTCAACCTGTATTAAATGTTTCCACAATTCTGGTGTCTGTTTAGGTTGTGTCAAAGTATCCATACTTACAGAATAATGAAACTGAGATATTTCAAAATCCACTTTATTTCAAGTGACAGATGCAAATAGTACATTGTAGGTTTCTTTTTGTATCAAAAGGTCAGAATTTTTTAATGAAGATGGCTCTCTAAAAGAGGTACATAAGATTAATGAAATGTATGCTACTTTGCAGGAGGAACTGAAGGTAAGTTACATGTTTTTGGAAAACATCTCTTGTATCTTATAATGAGCAATGCGCAACTTGAAATCATTGTTTGGCAACACCATTCAAACAAAGTTTAAAAGGTGAAAAGTAAAATATTATAAACAGCCAATTCCATTAATCTACCCTCCTTTCAGATGCAACATTATGCATCCTGGAAGTATTCTGGGTAAATATGTGAAAAAGCATTTTATGCATAATGATTTTACACACATTCTGTAGTCTTAACACAGCTTTAGTTTCTAAAAACACATCCACAGGGTTATTAATTAAGGCATGTGCTGAATTAGCATATCCAGTATTATGAAACAGGACTACTACCCACTAAGTAATTAATGAAAGCAACTGCAGAATTAAGTATATGCTATCAAGTCTATAGATGGGTGCATGCTTTTTCTGCAGCTATATTCCCTGGCAAAATTGTTTTTCTTTAGAAAAATGAGGTACATATGCACAACCGATATTCCATTATTTGGAAATGCACATGTTCTATACACCTTTGGTAGAGTTCAAGGCAGTTTCTGTTGGCGTGTAGCAGAGTATCGCAGAAGTTCAGAATAATGGACTCTGGAGTCTCCGGTAAAAGCAGATTTTTAGCTTTACTTAAGCAGCTCAAAACAGATAACATACACCATCAGCGGACATACGTGAAGAACACAAACCAAAAGAGATAGGAACTAATACAAACTGCAGCTTTTAGGAAGTTTATCTCTGGCACTCCCTAATCTTTCACAGAGCAAGAACTCAGGGTCACATTCTCACAGCTTGATACTTTGCTGTTTAACCCTTCTGTGTCAAACTACATCCTGGCAATACAATTCTATTACAATCACAATCCTATCACATAAAATTACATTTAAACGCACATCACACATGAATTACACACTGACAGTTTCTATATTATGACAGTTCTGTACTAATTCCATGACTCGGCTGAAAACACTAAAGATTAATGGCAGGGTATTCCACATTCCAAGGGCAAGATGGATGGATGTTATCCTTGAAGTGACTGGCTTGACCTTGAAGGAGGTGGGGGTGGTGACGACTGACAGGGGGCTCTGGCGTGGGCTGGTCCATGAGGTCACAAAGAGTCGGAAAGAATTGAACGAATAAGCAACAACATTCCGCATTCATGTCTCTTTTCTTCTTTCTAGAGTTTGTGCAGTAAAGTAGTGGACAGTGAAAGGCTGGTAGAGGATCTGTTAACAGAAGTAGATCAACTAAGACAAGTAGTAAAAAGAAAAAAAGAACAGATGACAACTGCTGGTAATCCATACCATTTTATTATTGTTTTTATAAAAAAAATGTTTTGCTGTTTATTGTGAAAGAAAGAGCTATAACAAAGTGAACTTGTGGAGGGAAGATATTTCTTCATCAAAAGCTTTACATTTTCTGGAGCCTTCTGATAAAGTCTGAAATGTATTGTAACAAAGTGTGCAAGGATATTATTTATATGAAATGGGAAGCACTCAAAATCTAACATTTGTTTTCTGTTAACTGACATTACCACTAAAAACGCTTTAATGAGGTTTTTCTTTTGCTAAACTCCCTACGGGCCCCCGGTGGTGCAGTGGGTTAAACCACTGAGCTGCTGAAATTGCTGACCGAAAGGTTGGCGGTTCAAATCCAAGGAGCAGGGTGAGCTCCTGCTGTTAGGCCCAGCTTCTGCCAACTTAGCAGTTCAAAAACATGCAAATGTGAGTGGCGGAAAGGTAGCAGCGCTCCATGCAGGTGTCTACAGACAACACCGACTCTTCAGCTTAGAAATGGAGATGAGCACCACTCCCCAGAATCGAACACAACTAGACTTAATGTCAGGGAAACCTTTACCTTTACCTTAAACTCCCTACATAGCTTTGCTTTTGAGCACTTAGAAGTTGATCATGAATGCAGTAGGAGAGAGGCCACGTGGCTTTCCAAGGTGTGTGTGCTGCTTTTAGGATGTCCACCAGTCTGCCATTTAGCTGCTTAGGGAGATGATGGGCAGAAGCAAAAATGACCATTCCTTCCACAGCTAATTCTTTCCCCTGGCCCATAAACAACTGTTTAGGGCCCATAGATTTCACCAAGCATTTTACATGACTGAGATCGATTATTATTATTATTATTATTATTATTATTATTATTATTATTATTGTTATTATTAACAACTTTATTTGTACCCCGCTAACATCTCCCGAAGGACTCGATGCGGCTTACAAAGGCCAAGGCCTCAATAAAACAGCAATATAACAGATACACATAAACCATAAAGCAAATCAAAACATTAAAGCAATAACAGTAAATAGTAAAAACAGTACACATAGCACAATAAAACTAAGGCCGGTTGTTTATACCTGCAGCTATTGCTGTTTTTTATTGATTTTACCAGGGGGGGTTGTGAAGTGAGATATTTGTTGGCTGTTTTAGTTTTGTTATTGTTTCTGCAATTTTTGTATTTTGCATGTTTGCACCTTTGAATGGTTTGTGAGCTGGTGCGAGTCCCTCCGGGAGACGGTGGTGGGATATAAATAAAATTATTATTATTATTATTATTATTATTATTATTATTATTATTAGGGGACAATCCAAAAATAATCAGGAAAGCTTCCTGGGGTAATAGCCATCTTCATGTGAATCATCCCTCATCCATTTTATTGTGGTTGGGAAAATGAATTTATTGTCACTGTCATAACATTATCTTCTAGTTTTACATCTCCTTACTTAGTTTTTCCTTTTGTATTTCAGAGGAAAAGAAAAGCCACCCAGAGGAGCCAAGAGAGAATATTTTCCTTTGTCAAGCTTTACAGAGCTTTTTCCCAAACTCTGGATTGCAGACAAGTGTTGTTACTTTAAAAGGAAGGCAGATCTCTAAGCATTGCTGCACTGTTGACCACAACATCCGAGTAGCAGACCAACTGACATTAATGCTCAAAGAATGCAGTTTTAGTGAAACTGAAACAAGGCAAGTAATGAAGCGAAAAGCGACAGTGAGCACAAGCGGAACAAAGCCTTTCAAAAGGCTACGATCATTCCAACTCTGTCAAAAACTATTTCGAGAAGACATTGATAACAGTGACCAAGATGGAAATGCAAGCAATGCTGAATTAGATGAGGATGAAGCAAGAGAACCTAATGAATACGCACATTCTCCAACTATGTAATCTCTTCTAGAGACATCTATATTTACCTTCTAATTGCTGCATAGATAATTACCATTCTGTGGTAACTCAGGATGCCTGCCTGGGCAATATCAGTAAAAGAGGAAAACTCACTCATCCAAATCCAGACCAGCATTGTCTTTACAATTCAGGGAAACCAAAGTAGTCTCTTCATACTTTGCATTGTTTATCTTCTCAGGGATTATTGCAGTATGAATGCACCAGCACAAAATAGTCTGAGAAAGGTTATTTTATAAATTTTGTATGGAGAACACAATGGTGTATTGAGTATGCTTAAAGAAATGTGGTTATACTTTTGCCATCCGGAAAACATGGAAGGAAACCAAACTTCTGAGATTCCATTTACTGCATCGTTTTTGTTTGGTTTGGTTTTTTTTTGTTGTGGACCAATATTTGAATTGTTGTACATTATTAATGCAGAATATAGATGAGCCATGATTTTAAAAGTAAGACTGAGCTTGAAACCAGGCATGGCCAGACATACTTCCAGAGATATATAACACTGGGTGTAATGGCATGTTTTCCATTGTGTATATCAGAGATAAGCAACGATGGACCATTCCACACAGCCATATAACCCAGAATATCAAGGCAGAAAATCCCACAATATCTGCTTTGAACTGGGGGCCCTTCCACACAGCCCTATATCCCGGGATATCATTTTATTTATTTATTTATTTATTTACTATATTTCCATACCGCTCTTCTCAGCCCTCGGGCGACTCAGGGCAGTTCACAATAGCAAAATTCAATGCTTAAAACATCATAAAACAGTTAAAAACAATTAAAACAATAGCATTATAACAATAAATTAAACATCATATAAAATCTCATATCGTCTCATATTTAAAATCAAGATCCAGTCTCATCATCCAATATCAAGGCAGGAAATCCCACATTATCTGAATTTGGACTCAGATAACCTAGTTCAAAGCAGATATTGTGGGATTTTCTGCCTTGATATTCTGGAATATAGGGCTGTGTGGAAGAGCCCTGGGTTATCCGAGTCCACACTGCCATGTATTCCAGTTCACAGTAGATAATGTGGGATTTTATTCAGCTGTGTGGAAGGAGCCTGTGTGAGAGAGGGGAGAAACCTTTAGCTATATCTTTCCAAAATAATGGTACAACAACATTTCCTGTTTTATTTAACCTCTCCATCTTATTTTTAGGCTTTTTTCCCCCATTATGGATTTGGGGAGGACTTAATCAGAACCCAACTACTACATGTTAGCTAGTTTAGGAAGGATGCAAATATGAGATTGGGGACCACTTGCCGTAATTCCCCACATGAAGCAGCTATATTGTGATAATACTCACTGTAATTTCAATAAATAAGGCTATTCAATTGGAAGAAGATATAAAATCATTACTGGTGAGATGATATTACAAATAATACTTTCCTTTGTATCTTATATACAAAAGGAAATAAGAGGAGACTCATTGCTGAAGTGGCAGTAGCTTGTTTATTGAGGTTCTATTAATAATCACCATAAAATAACTACAAAAACACATTAAGTACAATTATCAATTTATTCTGGATACTTAATATTACATATCTTAGGGTCACTGAGGAATGTTGGGTCTTTAAATGTCACCGACATAAATCCTGCAAAATAATAATCAGGAGGTTAAGTTTTCAAAGACAAGGACTGTGAAAAATGTAAACCTTTCCATATTACAAAAAGGAACCATACCTGTCTTTCGGGCCCTTCTAATAGCTTTTGCGAGTTCAGATTGTTTCTTTTCACATAAGCCTGTGAAACCAAATAATAATTCTGAATGCCAGTTTGACAATATCAAATGTTCAACTCAAACTACTTTTTAAAGTTTTGTTTGGTTTTGGAAAACACAACATAAAGGGTCACACAGTTCTTGAGTTTTAAAGGGGGTGAAAAAGCATCAAATGGATATAAGAATAAGCATAACACTGCTGAAGCTTTCTTTGTTACATACCTGTTATGTGTCTACCGAAGATTCGACCAGTAAATGGAGAAACAAACTGTGATAAAAGCTGTTGGAAAAACAAAATGTTTCATTCTTCAAATTCAGTAAATATTAGTCAAGAAACACATTGTATTGTACTATGTTATTCCAAATACAGTGCTGCTTTTGAACATGGTGTGATTATCTCCATTTCACCTACACTTTGGAAGTTACATAGCCACAAGTAGAAATAGTGGCTTGGAGTCAGATAATTTACTTTATGAAAGGGTGGGGCTACTCAGTTTGGAGCCATTGTGCTGCATGGCAGACACATATATTCAAAGCTTAGTATGCTTGATGCTCCTGTCTTCACCCCATTTTATTTATTATTTTACTATTTATTTACTATGCTTCTATACCGCCATTCTCAGCCCGAGGGCGACTCATGGCGGTTTACAAAACGGCACAATTCGATGCCCACAACAGTACAAAAATAATTTAAACATTAAAAACATTTAACACAGGTAAAAAAATCATTACAATTAACATCAGTAAACACAATAAAAACCATAAGTCCTCCGCATTTCATTACCAGTCATTATCCAGTCATGTTGTCCAACTGTTCCGAGATCAGAGTTTAATAGCTACACTGCGTTTGGGAAGGCCTGCTCATATAGCCAGGTTTTAACTTTTTTGCAAAACGTTAAGAGGGTGGGGGTTGATCTAATGTCCCTGGGAAGGGCATTCCACAACCAAATGGCCACCACTGAGAAGGCCCTATCCCTCGTCCCCGCCAATCGAGCCTGCGAAGATGGCAGGGCCGAGAGCAGGGCCTCCCCAGAAGATCTTAAATTCCTAGAGGGTTCGTAAGGAGAGATACGTTCGGACAGGTAAACAGATCCAGAACTGTTTAGGGCTTTATAGGCTAAAGCCAGCACTTTGAATTGTGCTCGGTAGCAAATTGGCAGCCAGTGGAGCTGGCGCAACAGAGGAGTTGTATGTTCCCTTGGCGCCGCTCCCGTTAGCAACCTGGCTGCCACCTGTTGGACCATTTGGACCTTCCGAACAGTCTTCAAAGGCAACCCCACGTAGAGAGTGTTGCAGTAATCTATACGGGATGTAACCAGAGCGTGGACCACCGTGGCCAAATCAGACTTTCCAGACTTTTAGATCCTATGAATCGGATGTGTACTCACTTTACATCCTACCTTTTCTGCCATCTGATAAGAGGTTGGTCTGGGGATGGTTTCCTTAGATCTACTCCTAACTTTGTATCTTTTGAAATTCTTGTTATTATTTCCAGTACTTGTAAATGGAAGTACATGAAAGGAACAGAGTGGTTACCTATAAGTTCCCCCCTCCCCCCCCGGAATCAGTGTTTGTTTGTTTTAGGAGATCAGGTATGTGAAATAGTAAATAAATAGTATTATCCCTCTTCATCCTAAATGTAGCTTTCCTTGGCTTTTTGTAACATACCTCATGAATATAAAACAAAAATGGAATGTACCTGTACATTTTTGTAGTCAACCGTCATCCCACATAAGATGCACTTTTTAGGAGGTTCCTTATAGGGATTTTCCATTGCTACAGGCTGAAACAAAAGCAGTATTTTGTAGTAACCTTTTCAGTGGTAACCCCACCTAATTACTTAAGCAAGCAAGACACTATTCTATTCATCATTTGGACCTTGCAGTATTAAAAACTAAGACTAGATCAGACTCGCACAAGCATTTATCCGTTTTCTTGCATGCACATACTAGAAAAACGATCAAGTATACCTTCCAATTTGGAGTTATTTCACTCTACAAAGTAACTTTGTTTCAGCCTCTAAAACTAAGAAACAGAAGTTCTGCTTTTAGATTTTTTATAAAAACAAACACATTCACAAAAGCTTGTGCTAGAAATTAATTTTTCAGTCTCAAGCTGTTATATAATAATAATAATAACAATAATAATAATAATAAACTTTATTTGTACCCTGCCACCATCTCCCCAATGGGGACTCGGAGCGGCTTACATGGGGCCAGGCCCGAACAACAATTACAAAAAATTTCCTTCTTGTGCTTGAACAGACTTACCCAGCTACTAGTTACAAAATGCACATGTGTTCATATGACTAAATTGACTGTTCTAAGAGTGTACAAACAACTACCAACATTAACTGTTTCCAACTATATCCCCAAAGATTTCTGCACCCATTTCTGGCACCTCCAGTTATAAGTATTAGCTGGATTATTGAGTGCAGTATATGAAAAAGGACTTACTAACACAGAAACGACAAAATGCAATAACTCTTACCATATCTCCCTGACTGGACAACTGGGGGCTCTGGGAACTACACTCTCGTCTCCATGATGTAACTGAAAAGAAACATGTGCATACAATTCCATTAAAGTAAACAAGGAAACTATTCCTGGCAGAAGAAAACAGGTAACATGGTTCCCAATGATGTTTCTATCCCTTTTCAAATACAAATTGGTAACTGACTATTAAAAGAGGGAACAATGGTACAGTTTTCCTGGTAGATGTCAGGTGGAGCAATCCCGGCTAGACAGTGTAATTTCTCCAGTGGTGTTAAGAGCCACATCCACTGTTTTAGCATGGTGAGATGTGTTCCACACTGGGCATGCGTATTCAGCAGCAGGGTAGCAAAGTATCTCACAACCTGTGGAGAGTATTTTATAAACAGATTTCATAAAATACTCTTCTTGAAGTTCAGGTGGAATCTCCTTTCCTGTGACAAGAGAAGACTGAGAGGAGACATGATAGCCATGCATAAATATGTGAGGGGAAGTCATTGGGAGGAGGTAGCAAGATTGTTTTCTGCTGCCCTGGGGACTAGGACACAGAGCAATGGCTTGAAACGACAGGAAAGGAGATTCCACCTGAACATTAGGAATAACTTTCTGACAGTGAGAGCTGTTCAGCAGTGGAACTCTCTGCCCCAAAGTGTGGTGGAGGTCCCTTCCATGGAGGCTTTTAAACAGAGGCTGGATGGCCATCTGTTGGGGGTGCTTTGAATGCTATTGTCCTGCTTCTTGGCAGGGGGTTGGGCTGGATGGCCCACAAGGTCTCTTCCAACTCAATGATTCTACGATTTGATGATGATGATGATGATTATTATTATTATTATTTGTAACTCAGGGACAGTAATCATAACTCGGGGACTGTAATCATAAATAACATTACCTGGAGATATCTCTCTCCTGATACACTAGCATTTTGTTCTGTACCAAAGTTCACAAGATAATGTTTCACACATTAAGTGGAAACTGTTTGAATATGTTTCAACATAAAGGCAGCAGATCACAGGAGCTGTCTTCATAGACCTGTCAGCAGCTTATGATACTGTCAACCACCGCCTCCTCCTGAGAAAAATGTATAATATCACAAAGGACTACCATCTCACCCACCTCATAGGAAACCTGCTACAAAACAGGAGCTTTTTTGTTGAGTTCCAGGGCCAGAGAAGCAGATGGCGGAAACAGAAGAACAGCCTGCCCCAGGGGAGCGTGCTTGCTCCATCCATGTTCAACATCTACACAAATGACCAGCCACTGCCAGAAGGGACAGAGAGTTTCATCTATGCTGAGGATCATGCCATTACTGCTCAAGCAGGGAGCTTTGAGATGGTTGAACAGAAGCTCTCCGAAGCTCTAGGTGCTCTTACTGCCTATTACAGGGGAAACCAGCTGATGTCTAACCCATCTAAAACACAGACATGTTCCTTTCACCTTAAGAACAGACAAGCATTCCAAGCTCTGAAGATCACCTGGGAAGGCATCCCACTGGAGCATTGCAGCGCACCCAAATACCTGGGAGTCACTCTGGACCGTGCTCTGAACTACAAGAAGCACTGCCTGAATATCAACCAAAAAGTGGGTGCTAGAAACAATATCATACGAAAGCTGACTGGCACAACCTAGGGATCACAACCAGACACAGTGAAAACATCTGCCCTTGCACCTTGCTACTCTGCTGCTGAGTATGCATGCCCAGTGTGGAATACATCTTAATTCTAATAAAGTGCTTCTGGGACTTGGTATTGGAGATTTCCTATTCTGGGAAGGCACATCGGAACAGCCAGGTCTTCAAGTTCTTTCTAAAGACTGCCAATGTAGGGGCCTGTCTAAGATCTTTGGGGAGGGTGTTCCAGAGTCGGGGGGCCACCACAGAAAAGGCCCTGTCTCACGTCCCCACCAAGCGCGCCTGCAACGCAGGCGGAATCACGAGCAGGGCCTCTCCGGATGAATGAAGTGAGTGTGTGGGTTCATGAACGGAGATGCGGTCACGCAGGTAGGATGGTCCCAAACTGTTTAGGGCTTTGTAGGTAAGCACCTGCACCTTAAATTGGGCTCAAAAAATAAACGGCAGCCAGTGGAGCTCCTTAAACAGGAGGGTTGACCTCTCTCTGTAAGGGGCCCCAGTTAACGTCCTGGCCGCTGCCCGTTGGACCAGTTGGAATTTCCGAGCCGTTTTCAAGGGCAGCCCCACGTAGAGCACATTACAGTAGTCCAATCTAGAGGTGACCAAGGCCAGATCAGCCTTCGCGAGGTATGGTCACAGTTGGTGCACGAGTCTCAATTGTGCGAAAGCCCTCCCAGACACCGCCGACGCCTGAGCCTCAAGCGTAAGCGATGAATCCAAGAGGACTCCCAAACTGCGGACCTGTGGCTTCAGGGTGAGTGTAACCCCGTCCAACGCAGGTTGCCACCCTATACCCCGATCAGGTTTACGATCGACCAGGAGGACCTCTGTCTTGTTGGGATTGATCTTCAGCTTGTTCCTCCTCATCCACATAGACACAGCGGCCAGGCACCCTTCCAGCACCCGAGAGGCCTCCTTGGAGTTGGGTGGAAATGAGTAATAGAGTTGTGTGTCATCTGCATAGAGGTGGCACCTAACTCCAAAACTCCGGATGACCTCTCCCAGCAGTTTCATGTAGATGTCAAAAAGCATGGGAGACAGAATAGAGCCTTGCGGGACCCCACAGGTCAAAGGCCAAGGGTCCGAGCAGGCATCTCCCAGCTTCACCATCTGGGTTCGTCCCTCCAGGAAGGACCGGAGCCACGACAAAACCGTGCCCCCGAGACCCATCCCAGAGAGTTGTCCCAGAAGGATACCATGATCGATTGTATCGAAAACCGCTGAGATGGCCAAGAGAACCAACAGAGTCACACTCCCCCTGTCCAGCTCTCTACAGAGGTCATCCACCAAGGCGGTTTCGGTACCGTGACCAGGCCTGAAACCAGACTATGACTGATCTAGGTAGTCGATGTCATCTAAAAAGCCCTGGAAAGACGAAATGCTATGTTGTTGTTCATTCGTTCAGTCGTCTCCGAGTCTTCGTGACCTCATGGACCAGCCCACGCCAGAGCTCCCTGTCGGCCGTCACCACCCCCAGCTCCTTCAAGGTCAGTCCAGTCACTTCAAGGATGCCATCCATCCATCTTGCCCTTGGTCGGCCCCTCTTCCTTTTAACTTCCACTTTCCCCAGCATCATTGTCTTCTCTAGGCTTTGCTGTCTCCTCATGATGTGGCCAAAGTACTTCAACTTTGTCTCTAGTATCCTTCCCTCCAGTGAGCAGTCGGGCTTTATTTCCTGGAGGATGGACTGGTTGGATCTTCTCGCAGTCCAAGGCACTCTCAGAACTTTCCTCCAACACCACAGTTCAAAAGCATCGATCTTCCTTCGCTCAGCCTTCCCTATGGTCCAGCTCTCACATCCGTAGGTTACTACAGGGAATACCATGGCTTTGACTAGGCGGATCTTTGTTGCCAGTGTGATGTCTCTACTCTTTACTATTTTATCGAGATTGGACATTGCTCTCCTCCCAAGAAGTAAGCGTCTTCTGATTTCCTGGCCACAGTCTGCATCTGCAGTAATCTTTGCACCTAGAAATACAAAGTCTGTCACGGCCTCCACATTTTCTCCCTCTATTTTCCAGTTGTCAATCATTGTTGTTGCCATAATCTTGGTTTTTTTGATGTTTAGCTGCAACCCGGCTTTTGCGCTTTCTTCTTTCACCTTGATTAGAAGGCTCCTCAGCTCCTCCTCGCTTTCGGCCATCAGAGTGGTGTCATCTGCATATCTGAGGTTGTTAATGTTTCTTCCAGCAATTTTCACCCCAGCTTTGCATTCATCCAGCCCCGCACATCCCATCATGTGTTCTGCATACACGTTAAAAAGGTTGGGTGAGAGGATGCAGCCTTGCCGTACGCCTTTCCCAATCTTGAACCAGTCTGTTGTTCCATGGTCAGTTCTGACTGTTGCTACTTGGTCCTTGTACAGATTCCTCAGGAGAGAGACAAGGTGGCTTGGGATGCTCATCCCACCAAGAACTTGCCACAATTTATGCTATAGGTAGGCCTTTACATACTATAATGTAGCGTTTAAAAATGTAAATAGTTTTATGTTTTATCTCCAGAGCTAGCTTGTTCCTCTCCCAAATGACAGAACTAGGCCGAAGATATGGAAACTAGTGGCCTCCAAGGCTTGGCCAAGGCCTGCTTTTCCTTACCTGCCCCAGAAGCACAAGAAGACTTCCTGAATCCTGCAAAGACAGAGCAAAACCTTCCTGAACCCTTCAGCACGGAAACCAAGCTGACCACGGCGGCCATATTTCCCCTCTGTCAAACACTTCCGTTCAGGGTTTCGCGCATGCTCCGTAGCGGCGAGATCAAACCAAGCCCGGTTCGAACTGTCAACCAAAACCAATCCACCAATCATCAAAGGGTATTTCCCTCAACGCCCCGCCCCTTCTCTCAGGCACTGTGAAGATCACGTGGTTTAATCCAACGATCGAACTGTCAACCAAAACCAATCCACCAATCATCAAAGGGTATTTCCCTCAACGCCCCGCCCCTTCTCTCAGCCGCTGTGAAGATCACGTGGTTTAACCCAACGATCGAACTGTCAACCAAAACCAATCCACCAATCATCAAAGGGTATTTCCCTCAACGCCCCGCCCCTTCTCTCAGCCACTGTGAAGATCACGTGGTTTAACCCAACGATCGAACTGTCAACCAAAACCAATCCACCAATCATCAAAGGGTATTTTCCTCAACGCCCCGCCCCTTCTCTCAGCCACTGTGAAGATCACGTGGTTTAACCCAACGCTTTCCAAAGGCGGCAAGTACAGAGATGAGCAACGTTCGTGTTGTTGGACTTCAATTCCCAGATTCCCAAATCATTGCTCAGTGCAGCTGAGGCTTCTGGGAGATGAAGTCCAACAATGGATCGCCTCATCTGCGCCTAGTTTTCGAAGCGATAAGGGGAAGTGACGTCTTATATACCTAGTGCTCTGCAAGTACATTGGTTTCTATCATTCATCCGATCCCCCTTTTGTGTCCTATTTGGTATATTCCTTCCTTGTCATTAAACAGCATTGGGTTGTTCTATTTTATCCGGGGGGGGGAGCAGTAGAAACCAAAACGAATGAAGCTGACAGCGACTTTTCCCAGGGATAAAAGGAAGTGACGTATAACGTTGAAACGTTGAGTCACTACTATAATAAGCGGGGGAAGCGTTGTTCTCAATCCTTTCGTTCACCCCTCCTTTGAAAGAGTTGGTACATTCCCTGCTCTTCTTTAAAGCGCACCGTGCCTCGTCTTGGACTGTTCCATTTTGTCCAAAAGGGGGGAAAGTGTCAAAAAAGGAATGGAGCGCCCGGGTTCCCTCAGCAAAGACTGGAGCCGACTGAACCAGGCCTGAGTTATGCCAGGCAGGGCCTTTGCTTATGGAAGGCGGCGGGATCGCTGTGAGGAGGAGAAGGAGGAGCAGGGCGAGGGCACGGGGCCGCTCTCCTCTTTCTCCAGCCCGCAAGAAGTCAGGCTCTGGGGAGGCCTTCGAGAGGCCCAGGCCTGAGGTGAGGCAGCCATTAATGGGATAAGCATCACAACCTATTGAGCTATGGAGGTGTTCCTTTATTGTCGAAGGCTTTCATGGCCTGAATCACTGGGTTGTTGTCAGTTTTCCCTGTGACCATGTGCCAGAAGCATTCTCTCCTGACATTTCGCCTACATCTACTCCAAGCATCCTCAGAGGTTGTTGGAAACTAGTCAAATGGGGTTTATATGTCTGCTGAATGTCCAGGGTGGGAGAAAGAACTCATGTCAGTTTGAGGTAGATGTGAATGTTTCAATTGGCCAGCTTGATTAGCATTTAATGGCCTTGCGGTTTCAACAACAGACTGGTTCAAGATTGGGAAAGGCGTACGGCAAGGCTGCATCCTCTCACCCAACCTTTTTAACTTGTATGCAGAACACATCATGCGATGTGCGAGGCTTGATGAATGCAAAGCTGGGGTGAAAATTGCTGGAAGAAACATTAACAACCTCAGATATGCAGATGACACCACTCTGATGGCCGAAAGCGAGGAGGAGCTGAGGAGCCTTCTAATCAAGGTGAAAGAAGAAAGTGCAAAAGCTGCTAAACATCAAAAAAACCAAGATTATGGCAACAAGAATGATTGACAACTGGGAAATAGAGGGAGAAGACGTGGAGGCCGTGACAGACTTTGTATTTCTAGGTGCAAAGATGAGTGCAGATGCAGACTGTGGCCAGGAAATCAGAAGACGCTTCCTTCTTGGGAGGAGAGCAATGTCCAATCTCGATAAAATAGTAAAGAGTAGAGACATCACACTGGCAACAAAGATCCGCCTAGTCAAAGCCATGGTATTTCCTGTAGTCACCTACGGATGTGAGAGCTGGACCTTAGGGAAGGCTGAGCGAAGGAAGATCGATGCTTTTGAACTGTGGTGTTGGAGGAAAGTGCTGAGAGTGCCTTGGACTGCGAGAAGATCCAACCAGTCCATCCTCCAGGAAATAAAGCCCGACTGCTCATTGGAGGGAAAGATACTAGAGACAAAGTTGAAGTACTTTGGCCACATCATGAGGAGACAGGAAAGCCTAGAGAAGACAATTATGCTGGGGAAAGTGGAAGGCAAAAGGAAGAGGGGCCGACCAAGGGCAAGATGGATGGATGGCATCCTTGAAGTGACTGGACTGACCTTGAAGGAGCTGGGGATGGTGACGGCCGACAGGGAGCTCTGGTGTGAGCTGGTCCATGAAGTCGGAGATGACTGAACGAATGAACAACAACAAAGTTTCAAGATCTGGCTTCTTCCTGCCTGCGGGAAGGTGTTGGGAGGTGATTAGCTGGCCCTCATTGTTTCTTGTCTTGCTACCTTTCCTTACTTAGGCGATCCCTCGTTGGACGAGTAGGATAGTCTTCCAGGAGCCATTGAATTAATACAGTCAGGCTTCACTCTGACTGCTAGGCCTCAGTGCTAAGGATCCCAGGAGTTGTAGTTTGGCGAGTCCCCAGCTCTCTTTGGTAGAAAAGACCCACACCTTTGGATCCCCATGATTCCATGTCACTGAGCCATGCCAGTTTAAAGTGGCATCAAGCAGCAGTTATTCTAAAGTGTAGATCAGTTATGGGCAAACTTTGGCCAGCCCTCCCAGTGTTTTGGACTTCAACTCGCACAATTCCTAACAGCTAGTAGGCTGTTAGGAATTGTGGGAGTTGAAGTCCAAAACCCCTGGAGGGCCGAAGTTTCCTTATACTAACAGGCTTACTTTTTTTTTTCTAAATTTTGATCCTGTTTATATTAAAAAATACTAATACATATATTCTCTTTCCTTGCAGTGCGTTGACAGCGAAGATGACCTCTTTGGAGATTATGACAGCTTTGGCAATGACTCTTTGTTGGCAGATGATCTGGAGCAAAATTGCCTGCAGTCTGCTGACGATGTTCGGGATTGCAATAAACTGGACCATAATGCAACTATGAAGCCAGTTTGTGGAGATGTTCAGTTGCAGAATGATAAGAACGTGGTCAAAACGTTTTCAATGGCAAACACTGCAAAGAGCGATGGAAACAGAAATGAATGTGATTTCTTGAGAATCGTGACAGAACAAGAGGATCAAAGTTCAAAGCATCTCAATGATAGTTTTGAAAGCCTGCCATCATCACAGCTTTTGTTTTTCAAAAAATCAGATGAATGTTTTGTTGGCCCTCACAGAGCAGAATATGGGAAAGAAGGGGCCCACTGTATAAATGACTGTCTTGACAAGGTTTCAGATCCCCTTTATTGCAATGATACAGAAAAGAGTAAAGTTACTGATTCTTCTGCAAGTGCTTTGTTTGAAGCAAGTAGGAGGAAAAGTCTCAAAGATCGTCTCAAAAGTACAATGACTGGAAATGCCAGAACTTCAACTCTGTTAGTATCTAAAAGTAAACAGCTCAAAGAAGCTGTTGTTTCTGAAGAGATTGGCATTATTGAGAAAACAAATACATCTCCCTTCGTTGATATTGGCCCTTTTTATGGTTTACCCACCAAAGTCAAGGAGCTGCTACTTCAGTTCAGAAAAATTGAGAAACTTTATGGTAATATCACTTTTCTCATTGTTATACTGCATTCTGTGCTAAAGGTTTCACTTTACTAAAGGTTTTACAACTATTTTAAGTTATTTTATTTGTACCTTTCTTCATTGTGTTGGGATGGAATTATATATGTCAGCAATATAAAGACAAAAACATGACTGCTTTGGGGACAGAAAACTTAAGGAAAATATAACATGGTATGAAATTTTATTAAAATGTCAAAATGAGATTGTTGTTCTTATGTTGTTATGCATTGTAACAGAACCACAATCTAAAGCAGAGGTTCTCAACCTGTGGGTCCCCAAATGTTTTGGTCTTTATCTCTCAGGAATCCCAGCCAGTTTACTAACTGTTAGGATTTCTGGGAGTTGAAGGCCAAAACATCTGGGGACCCACAGGTTTTTGTTTTGTGTGTATGTGTGTCAGGAGTGACTTGAGAAACTGCAAGTTGCTTCTGATGTGAGAGAATTGGCCATCTGCAAGGACGTTGCTCAAGGGACGCCCAGATGTTTTGATGTGTTACCATCCTTGTGGGAAGCTTCTCTCATGTCCCCACATGAGGAGCTGGAGCTGATAGAGGGAGCTCATCCACACTCTCCCCGGATTCGAACCTGCAACCTGTCGGTCTTCAGTCTTGCTGGCACAAGGGTTTAACCCACTGCGCCTCTGGGGGCTCCACCCACAGGTTGAGAACCATTGATCTAAAGTGTGCTTAAGCAAGAATACGCTTTTTAAAACACACAGATAGCAAGAACTATTGAAGTGGAGATGGAAGTTCCATTCTTTTAGCCAGGAATCCAGATTGGCAGCCTATTCCAATACATCATCCTTCATAGCTATCATTCTGAACGTAACCAGCTTTACTGCCTTCTGTCATAAAAACATGTCAGTTGAGCTAATTGCAAAACAAATAGTAAAACTTAATTTTCCATTGTATTCCATTACATTCTCATCCAAATTTATAATTATTGGAATACCAGTCCCATTTGAGTTTACACAGTAGTCATTGCAGATTTTTTCAGTGGTGGCTTTGTTTTCAAATTTCTCACTGTTTACCGTTCTTTAAAAAATCTTGCTATGAGCAGTAATCAGCTTTTATATAGTCATCCTTGTTCTACGCTAACTAATGTGAGATCACAGAAACATCAGGAATAATGTAAAATCTGTTGATTTGATACTAGATGGTAGATATGCTGGTTGAGGGGGGAAACAAGTGCGTATGAGCAAATTTCAAAATTTTGATGCTTTTGTTCACTCACAAATCAGCAGACTATGGACTCTAAACTGAAATTGAATTTTCCTTCTCAGATGTACTGTAGAAAAAGATGCCTGCTTTGGCAGATGGTGGAACTTAATGGATGTCGGGTCACTTACAGCTGTGAGATTCAACTACACTCTCATCCTTTAGAGAGCTTTTGTAGAATTTTATAAGAAAACATTAGTTTGTAATTGGATGTTAGGAATACTAAAATGGGAGAACTAAATCAGTTTTTTTAATTGCACAGATTGGCAACATACTTGTTTGACATTAGAATCATTGCAACAGAGAAAGAATTTGATATACTCCTTGCCAACCAGTGGTGGAAAAACACTTGTCGCTGAAATATTAATCCTTCAAGAACTACTTTGCAAGCAAATGGATGTTCTGATGATCCTTCCTTATGTGGCAATAGTGCAAGAGAAGGTATAAAATTAGTATTATATTTGGGGGCAGCCTTGCATTTTATTTACCCCCACTCCTTTTGCAATAGTGACAGGTTGTAATTTTATGCATGTATAATTACAAAGAAAATCAATTGAACTTCATGGAACATTTGTAAGGCAGGTGTTGTTTTCATATTCATTGCTGTATAATATTCTTTTGATGAGGCCATTTACAAGATTTTCTTTGGGGTTTTTTTTCTGTGACATTGAGCATGTGTTCAGAATCTGGCCTTAGACTAGTGTACAAATTAACACATTCACATAAAGTAAATTTAAGAATTGGTTCCTAATGTTTACTGTAGATTTAATTTTTCTTCGTATATTTGTTTTGTTTTTTACAGGTTGGTGGATTGTCAGGTTTTGGAATGGAACTTGGCTTTCTCGTTGAAGAATATGCAGGAAGCAAAGGAAGGATTCCACCAATCAAACGGAGGCAAAAGAAGTCCCTTTATGTTGCTACCATTGAAAAGGGACATAGCCTGGTGAATTCCTTAATAGAGACGGGTCGAATTGGTGATCTGGGTCTAGTTGTAGTTGATGAGGTTGGTTATGAGGTTTTATATGTGTTGTTGTTTATAGAATCATGTGTTGTTTTATATGCTTATGTATTGTCCATTTTATATGTAACACTCCTAGTGCTTTTGTAAGCCGCCCCAAGTCCCTTTGTGGAGATGGTGGAGGGATAGAAATAAATTATTATTATCATTATCAAACTCTTGAAGCTTTTCTGAAATATTTAACATTGCCAGTTTAGTCTCATTTTGAAAGATAGCACCAATTAATGTTGCTGTTGTTATTATAATATAAGGTGCCATAGTATTCTGAAAAACGAATTTGTATTTGTAATTACACTGGATTAAATGCTTTTCATTTCCTAAACTCACTACATTAAATGCCAGTCCAAACATAGGCAATTAAAGCTTTGGAAGTGATACTGGGAAATAATTTTGATAGTTTTCAACAGTTATTGTGAGTGCTGTTATTTTCTAACCCTTTGGTATTAATAGGTATTTTTTAATTTTTAGTTTCTCCCAGATTTCAATAATTCTTTAGAGAAAATACACATTTATTTGATGTTGTGTTGCCTCTGAGATCTGGGAATTCTGTTACAATTTTCCTAACATGTAGTTGCTGATTCAGTAGTAGCAGTGGCTCAAATCGGTGGAACAGGTGTTTGAAATGTGTGTAGCCTTTGCCAGTAAAATGACAATTTTAGCACAATCCAGAATACATTGTTTTCACAAGGTTGAGCTATTTTAACTGCATTTAATTTCCAATTGTGACCTATACTAAATGACATAGAAGACTTCTTTGTTTCCAGCATAATGTGGAATTGGATCAAAATAAAGCTGACTTTGAGTTAATGTTTTGGAAGTTTAGAGGGTATCTGCTTGTATGCTTTCATGATTTTATAATTTATTTTTCTCTAAAGTTGCACATGCTTGGAGAAGGAAGTCGTGGGGCTATTCTGGAAATGGTGCTTGCCAAGATTCTCTATACAAGCAGTAAGTAATTTTGTCATAAAGTACAGAACTCATCTAAGCAAATTAATGCATGTTAACAAGTTCAGTTACAATGGTTCTGAAATCTTAGAAATTGACTTTAGTAGTATACGTTAGCATGAGAATGTTGTAAAACAACATCGGTCAATTTTGTCTTAAGAATAGCCTTAGAATTCTTTCAAGAAATTAAGGGTCAATGCTAAAGAAATTGCTAATACCGTATATTTAGATATTGCGAGGTCTGCTTTATGTGCCATCCTTTTTATAAGCTACAGTAATTACACATGCCAATGAAAAAAGTGTGAAAGGCAACTTAAACAGTGTGTAATCATAAACAGTAAGACAATTAAAGGGAAAGAATCGTGCTTTGGATTGTAAAGGAGAAAGGACTAGTTTCAGAACAGCAAAATAAAGTAGATGGCATTTGGGTTAACTCTGGGGGTGTTTGAAGGCAGAAGCAAAAGCAACAAGCACATTTACAGACTGACCCTGTTCAGTCCTGTGCTTGTTTACAGGAAATAAATAGCTCTATATTATTTATTTCTATGGAAAACAAATACCAATTTACATGGAACCTTTTTAATAGTAAACATGCACAAGATTTTAGAATAAAACTTGTAAATATGTTATTGTATGGTTTATGGACATTTTAACAGAAGCTTTTAAAAATGTCAATTTATTTATCGTGTCAGAAGCAAATTGAGGGTACAGTTATAATGTATTTACAAACACAAACTTAAAAACTTGGCATTATACTAAGTGTCCTTTTACCAGAAATTGGCCACTTTGAGTGCCTCTGGTGTCGCTGTGAGGAGATGTTCATGTGGCAGGGCTCAGATTGCATTGGAGTAAGTGGTCTGTGCTTTGCTCTTCTCCAAACTCGCATGTTGTGCACTCCACTTTGTCGCCCCATTTTTTAAAGTTGGCTCTGCATCTCATGGTCCCAGAGCACAGTCTATTCAGCACCTTTCAGGTCGCCCAGTCTTCTTTGTGCCCAGAGGGGAGTTTCTCATCTGGTCTCAGCCACTTATTGGTCTCAGCCACTTTTGGCCTCTCGTTTGCTGAGGTGTTCCTGTGAGTATCTCTGTAGATCTTAGGAAGCTGTTTTTTTATTTAATTGCTTGGCATTCTGGCTGATAACCAAACAGAAGGTGGACCAGATATGTCACTGCTTTGGTCCTTTCATTATTGGCTGCTACTTCCCAGCAGATGTCATGTGGAGCAATCCTAGCTAAACAGTGGTGTGGGGCATAGACGTCCTGTAATAATGCAGCATGTCCCATTAAGATCTACATCCACTGTTTTAGCATGGTGAGATGTATTCCACACTGGGCATGCATACTCAGCAGAAGAGTAGCAAAGTGCAAGGGCAGATGTCTTCACTGTGTCTGGTTCCGATCCCCAGGTTGTGTCAGTCAGCTTTCATATGATATTATATTTTACATTGGCATTATTATAGAGATAATGTCTATGTAGACTATATATCTGATTCTTCCACTTGTGGTTTTTTGCTGTCTGCATACAAGTCTTTCCTTTTATGCTGCCTCAATTAGAATTCAGTACTTTTTTAAAGGGTTGGGACAGAATCAGAAATGGATGTTGCATTTTCAGTTAATCTGCTGAAGAAAGTGGTTCTTAATTATTAATCATGATAAAATTAAGTATTTTTAATACATTTTGTGTAGAAACCACTCAGATAATTGGAATGAGTGCAACGTTAAGCAACGTTGAAGATCTGCAGCAGTTCCTGAAAGCAGACTACTACACAAGTAATTTCAGGCCAGTATGTATGTGAAAAAAAATTTTATTGAACATTATCAGCATGCAATGTTTAACTCTTAGATAATTGCATTCATAAGGGGTTATTAATATTTAGGTCATTTTGATATACTCGGAGGTTTGAAAATTTTCCCCTATAGTCACAATGGGAGAAAGAAAGAAGGTATCTATTATTTTTTTCTTTTTAACAGTAGATATAGTAAATGTAGTATATAAAACAATGATGAACTAGCATGACAGGCTCAGGAAGTATCTTGATCTAGCTGCCTTTAAAATAAAAGCATCATGAGCTAAGCATAATATTAACAAATAAGTAATTTATAGCATATCATTCATTACGTCATAATAAGGATGTTTTTCCTTTCCTTTTAAAATTCGTTTCCAAAGTATATTCATCTTTTTACAAATTACCACATTTAATTTCTAAAAATCTAGGTGGAATTGAAAGAATTCGTTAAAATAAAAGACAGCATCTATGAAGTGGACAGCAAGGCAGAAAATGGTCTTACATTTTGTCGTCTCCTGGAATTCAAGGTAATGCAGATAAATGTGCCTAGACTTTTGATACAGAATATAACAATCATAAATATTACAAACAGAGCCCAGTAGACACTCCACTTTTGCAAAGAATGGTGTTGCAGGACCCCATGAAAATGGAAAAACCATTAGTTGAAAAAAAATTAACCTTAGAGAGCACTTCTCGAGAAATTTTGGTGTTCTATGGCAACTATGATCAAAGTTTATTTATTTATTTATTTATTTATTTACTCCATTTGTATACCGCATTTATCAGCCTGCGACGGCGACTCAATGCGGTTTACAGTAAAAATAAACAGTGAACAATATATAAGACGCACATCGACAAACAATACACATAATCATCAACGCCTACTTAGAATCAGATCCCGTTCTCATAGTCCTTAATTCAATCCTTGTTCAATGCCGTCATTATTGGGTGGTTGTTACTGCATAGCTAACCGAATGCCTGCTCATAGAGCCACGTCTTAACCCTCCTTCGAAACACCAGCAACGAAGGGGCCTGCCTGATGTCCTCTGGTAACGCATTCCATAGCCGAGGGGCCACTACCGAGAAGGCCCTGTCTCTCGTGCCCGCCAGCCGCACTTGTGACGCTGGCGGGACCGAGAGCAGGGCCTCCCCGGATGATCTTAATGTCCGCGTCAGTTCATAGGTGGAGATGCGTTCGGAGAGGTAAATGGGGCCGGAACCGTTTAGGGCTTTGTAGGCTAACGCCAGCACCTTGAATTGTGCCCGGTAGCAGATTGGCAGCCAGTGGAGCTGGCTCAACAGAGGGTGGTATGCTCCCTGAGTGCCGCTCCCGTTAGCAACCTGGCTGCCGAGCGCTGGACCATCTGAAGCTTCCGGGCAGTCTTTAAGGGCAACCCCACGTAGAGCGCGTTGCAGTAATCTATACGGGATGTGACAAGAGCGTGGACTACCGTGGCCAAGTCCGACCTCCCAAGATACGGGCGCAGCTGGCGCACAAGCCGAAGCTGTGCAAATGCTCCTCTGGAAACCGCCGAAACTTGGGGTTCCAAGGTTAGCGAAGAATCCAGAGTCACACCCAAGCTGCGAACCTGCGTCTTCAGGGGGAGTGCGACCCCGTCCAACACAGGCTGTAACCCTATACCCTGCTCGGCCTTCCGACTGACCAGGAGTACCTCTGTCTTGTCTGGATTGAGTTTCAATTTGTTCACCCTCATCCAGTCCGACACAGCAGCCAAGCACCGGTTCAGGACCTGGACAGCCACCTTAGAAGTGGGTGGAAAGGAGTGACAGAGTTGGACGTCATCTGCGTACAGATAACACCGCACCCCGAAACTCCGGATGATCTCTCCCAACGGCTTCATGTAGATGTTAAATAACATGGGGGACAGTATTGAACCCTGCGGGACCCCACAAATCAATGGTTGTGAGGACGAGCAGTTGTCCCCCAGTAACACCTTCTGGGAACGATCCTCTAGGAAGGACCTGAGCCACTGTAAAACAGTGCCTCCCAGGCCCATTCCCGCAAGGCGTCCCAGAAGGATACCGTGGTCGACGGTATCGAAGGCCGCTGAGAGGTCCAGCAGCACCAACAGGGACACACTCCCCCTGTCTAGCTCCCGGCGGAGATCATCCACTAAGGCGACCAAGACCGTCTCGGTTCCATGTCCCGGTCTGAAACCAGACTGTGCCGGATCCAGATAATCCGTGTCTACCAAGAATGCCTGGAGTTGTGAGGCCACCACACGTTCCATGACTTTGCCCAAAAAGGGGAGATTGGAAACAGGCCGAAAGTTGACGAATTGAGTGGGGTCCAGTGATGGTTTCTTCAACAGCGGTTTTATCACAGCTTGTTTTAAGCTGGCTGGAATTTTGCCTTCCCGAAGGGAGGCATTAACCACCACCTCAACCCACTCGGCCAATCCCCCTCTGGCCTCTTTTAGAAGCCAGGATGGGCAGGGGTCTAGGATGCATGTGGTAGCTCTCATTCCTCCAAGCACCTTGTCCACATCCTCGGTTTGAACCAATTGAAATGAATCCATCAAAATCGACAGACAGGTGTTCTCGTCACATTCTCAGAGACTGCCGTTAACATGGTGTCCAGACTTGAACGGATCAGAGCGACTTTGTCCGCAAAGAACCGTGCAAATGCTTCACAGCGAGCCGCCGAGTTGTCAGGGCTCCCATCCGAAATGGTGGGCTTCAACAGGCCTCTGACAACTCGAAACAGTTTATTATTTATTTATTTACTTGCTTCATTTATACCCCGCCTTTCTCACCCGCAGGGGACTCAAGATGGCTTGCAGATTCCGACCAGATTCAGTGCCACATATAAACATAAAAATAAAACACACCCCATCAAACTATAAAATAATTAAAACACAGAACAATAAAACTGATTAAAAATATAAAGTTCTTAATTTCATTAATCCATAATCCTTGTTCAGAAGGTGCTGAAATCTGTAATAATAATAATCGTAATAGTAAACTTTATTTATACCCCGCCACAAACAACAAATTGCAATAAAATAAAATACAAATTACAATAAAATAAACAAACATCGCAGTAAAATACAAAAACATATGAAAACATATGGCTGCAATAAGCAATATACACAAAGCATAAGAAAGCAATAAACAAACATAACAGTGAGCGGGCCGCATGTACAATAAAATGGTTTAAAAACTCAGGGTGAGGTAAAAGGAGCAGATTATTTGCATGGGAGAACTCATAGAGAAACAGTCTAATAAACATACCTTCGTACAAGGGGGGGGGGGAGTAATGCTCTATTCTCTAAACACCTGCTTACAAAGCCAGGTCTTTAGCTTTTTTCTGAAGACCAGAAGGGATGGGGCCTATCTGATGTCACTGAGGAGGGAGTACCACAGCCAAGGAGCCGCCATTGAGAAGGCTCTGTTTCTCGTCCCTACCAATCATGCTTGCAAGGAGGGTGGGACCGAGAGCAGTACCTCCCCAGTTGATCTTAAAACTCTAGTTGACTCATAAGGGGAAATGCATTCTGACAGGTAGGTTGGACCAAAATCATTTTGGGCTTTATAGGCCAAAGCCAGCACTTTGAATTGGGCCCAATAGCAAACCAGCAGCCAGGGAGCTGATGCAACAGAGGAGTTGTATGTTCCCCATAAGTTGATTGAATGACCTGGATTCTAATATTTTTGTGTGATGGATGCTAATATAACATGACAAAGAATCATGTGTTTTTCCCCTTATTAAAGCGACACATTGAGCAACAGTTGGTTGGTTGCATTTTTAAATCACACAGATTTGTCTGTGAAATGTAAGATCTATTAAAAATACAAAATGCAACAATAATTCAGTAGAGCATTACCTAAAAACAATAAAGTATAAAACCAAGATACAGCAAGCAGGAGAAATAAATCATGTATTCAAATGAAAACCAAGGGAGTTCTCCTGTATTCATCACTGAACCTGAAATCCCAGGTTGCAGCGGTGGCCGGGGGAGCGTTTACACAATTAAAACTTGTGCGCCAGCTGTGCCCATACCTTAGGAAGTCAGACTTGGCCATGGTGGTCCACGCTCTCGTTACATCTAGGATAGACTACTGCAACGCAATCTACGTGGGG